ATCCATCCATCCATCCATCCATCATCTATCATCTATCAAACAAATTCTATGGCCATTCATCTACCAAAAGAACTCTGGACAGCAAACACAGATAATACAATACTGTACAATTATCAAGTTACTTTTGTGATTGAAACAACTTCAAACATTCCAATAGAAAATGTCTGAACTATATATAAAGGGAAGAGACATTTCCTTTATGTATGTTGATATATTATTAAATGATTCTGCTGTTAAACTTTTAATTACAATCTATAATAGTCTGTAGTTCTGTTATTATTCATTCATTCATTCTTATTGTGACTTTTATGTTGAGAGTTTAAGGTGACTTCAATGGAGGTCTTCCCTAATTTTATCCTAATTTTAGAAAAAAGTAGGCTGGGCTAAGAAAAAAAAGTAGGCTTGGGCTATTGGCCCAAAGTCACCAAGTGAGTGAGGACTTAAATTTGGTCTCCCAGGTGCAGATCCAAAAACATTCTCACTTGTCAGCCCCCCTTGATACACCAGACCAGGAAATCAATCCCATAGGAAAGTTGAAACTACTTTTATTGAGAGTGGCTATAATAAGAGAACTGTAGAGAGCTTGGTTGTTTTCTTGCAGATGTTTCATTACCCAACTAGGTAACATCTTCAGTGCTAGAAGGGAGTGGGGTTTGCTCTCTGTTTATATACAGTAGCTTGCCCTGTCAGTGTTGAAGGGGGTGCTGTTTTTTTCTTGGTAGTTCCTAGATTAGGCTGTTGTTTACTGCTTACTGGGAGTTGAAGCCCACTCATCTTAAAGATGCTAAGGTTGAGAAACACTGGTCTAGTAGATCAGGCACCAAGCAGGATGGGGGACCAGATGACTTCTAAGGTTTTTTCCAACTCTATAAACTATATCTGAACATGAAGAATAAGGCACTGGCATTGGCAGGGCATTGGCAATGTCCTCTCCCTGGGTATTATATGACGAAATCCTGGCACATACAGTACTTTCCAATATAGAGTCTCTCCAAGGGTTTCTAATGGCCAGTTACTTTACTGTGTGTACATAAATCTCAGAAGCTTCTTCTGAAGCTAATTGTGATTTATTGCTTTCTGTATGTAAGAATGAAAGGGGAAGAGAAAATGTCTTTAGAGGCATCACTTTTTCTGAGCATTTCTCCAACTCGTGACAACTGATGACTTCTGCTGTGCTGGGAAATATATTGTGTTAAGTTGATTCTGTATCAGCTAGTAAGTGGGAAAACCTCTTCAGAAGTGAAACTCAACCCAAGTGATAGAGACATCTCAATTAGACTGAATTCATACATTGTGAAAAGCTCTGCTTTGCTTAAGGATAGTTTGTTGAGTTAACTACAACTGGCTAAGATTGCACAACATACTAAGCCATCTGCCATGGTTTACAGACCATGATGAATGGAATTCCACAACATATTAATCCAAAACCAAACAAAGGACATTGTAGTTTAGTATATGTGAACCCCACCTTTCAGCTGCACTTATACTAAAACGGAAGTAAGTCTTACTGAACACCATGGGGCTTATTTCTGAGTAAACTGAACTTTGGAAGTCATCTTGTTCAGCTTCCTGAATACAGAAAACTAGGCTCAGACTGTCTTATTTTATGTATGGCAATGCACATATGCTAAGCTGCATCTTCATGTTGAATAAGACATTTCAAATATGAGATTACCGGAGAGAAGGTTGGAGGATTGTAAGAGTAGAAATAGGAGAACTTTGCCTTCCAGAAATTTCCCACTCCCCTTAAATCCCACCCCACAAAACAAAAGGAGAAAGAAGGGCAAAGATTTGCCCTGAGGGGTCAGCATAAGTCACCACTAGCCAGATTGCTGGATGTACATGGCCAAATGGAGTGAGGAGATGTGAGGGAAGGCAAAGGATGGGATATTGGCTCCCATGTTAGGTAGGTCAAGATTGAGTTAGGGGAGGGAAGCAGCTGCAATATTCTGTTCTTGTTGGGCTGAGGGAGATATAATGGGAGGCACTGAGTAAGCCATTCCAGGCAAAGAATCTCCTCCAATTTTGTAGTAGCTCCTTCTTCTGACTTTGCTGCCTTTACCTAGGGACCTGTTGGCCATATTGTTGGGATACCTGGCATCAAGGTGTTGGTTAATGACTGGTCTGTCTGTAAAAAGACTAAGTCCATCTATGATTTGGTGATGAATGAAAGGACAGATCTGCTGTAAATCACTGAGAACTGGCTGAGGGGTAGACAGTGATGTTGCCCTCTGGGGTATCTGCCCAGAGGAACCTGTTTTCAGGTTCTGTACCAACCTTGACATCAGGGCTAGAGAGGTGGGATGGCACTGATCTGTCAGGCTTCTTATCTGTGGTCAGGGTAACTGTTCCAAAAGTGGCTGGGTATGAGCGCCTATGTGTTTGATTAGGCTATAGGGACAAGCTTGATATACTGGGTATCCTGTTGCTTGTTAGGATCCCTTACTGAGTCCCTGGACCTAGTGGCCAGTTTGGTGATGGAGACCCGCTTGTTGGTACTGGGGGACTTCATTCTTCAAGTAGGTGGAGCCAGGTCTTGTAGAGATCAAGAATTCATGATCTGTATGACAACATGGACTTGTCCCAAGTCATCTTGGCTTTGACACATATAGATGGGCACATATTAGACCTGTTTTTCACCTCCAAGCAGTTATTGTGTGATCTGCATGTGGGGGTATTACCATCTTCCATATGTTGTGGTCATATTACTTCCTGATCCAGATGTGATTGACTGCCACTCATTTCTTCCACAGATGATCAATTCAGATGATCTGCCCCAGCCACCTTATGGATCCATCTGGTTTCCAGCAGGTGTTTTGGGATTTCTCTGACAATCTTGTGGGTGACTCAATTAAGGGCCTTGTCATTGCTGGCATGAAGCAACATCTCAGGCCCTTGATGAAATTACTCCCAAGCAGCCTTTTTCTTCCAGTGATTCCAGGTGGTTCCTTGGTTTTCTAAAGGCTTCCAGGAAATGAACCCATAGAAATGATGCCTGGAACGGAGGTGGAGAATGATTAAGACTGAATTTGACCTAGCATATGTGCGTGTCCAAATTCAGGCCTACTCTGTAGTGGTAAGGGAAGTGAAGAACTCTTACAATACTTCTCCCCCCCCTTATTGCATTGGCAGATGATTGTTGAACAGCCCTTTTTCAGGTGGCCAATTCCCTCAGGTAAGGGCTGCCCTGTTGATTTACCATCTGGCCATTGTGACCATTTTGATACTTTGCTAGCAAAGTTATTCAAATTTGCTCTGATCTGAACTCCACTTGAGTGGAATCTTGTATAGTGACTCTCTTGCTAAATTCTGGTCTTCCTTTTAGCCTGTTACTTCCAAGGAAGCAGATAGGGTGCTCTCTAGGATGTCTTTGACCATGGATCCTTGTCCCTCCTGACTTCTCCAGACAGGTGGGGGGTACTCTTGGACTTGCAGCTCCTGCTAGATCAGCAAGTGGAGGCTGTAGCCAAGGGGCCTTTACTCAGCTTCAGCTTGCGGTCTTACTTGGTAAGGGAGAGCTAGACTGAAGTGACTCCCACCCTAATGGCCACCAATTAGACTACTGCAATCACTAATATTATGCTGGGGAAAACAGGCGGTTGTTCCTCATCTGAGGGGAATGAGGGGGACCAAAGCCAGAAGCATTGTTTTTCTGCAGAGGACCACCTGTCTCCAACATTATTGGCCTTCCTGAATAAGTTCAAAAAAGAGTTTTTCTGGAAGGCTTTTATGGTATGACATGTATTGTTTTAATGTATTTGTGAGATTTTTGTTTGATTACTATGCTTTCTTTACTATCATGAGCTGCCAAGAGCCTTGTATGATTGCAGTGGGATGTAAATTTGATAGATTGGACGGACTGACGGATGGATGGAGACAGACAGACAGACAGACAGACAGACAGACAGACAGACAGACAGACAGACAGACAGACAGACAGACAGACAGACAGACAGACAGACAGACAGACAGACAGACAGACAGACAGACAGACAGACAGACAGACAGACAGACAGACAGACATATGCCCACCCTTCTTGTCACAAGAAACCTTCCTGTGACTCTCCAGAAAGCCCAGAGGTTAAGAAGCAGCCCCTGACCTCTGAAAAGTTGCCCAGGTCTACTCTAAGGTTGCCCTCCCAACGGCTTTGAAATAAGCAAGTATGTTTAATAGCAAAAAGAAAAAAATGGAACAAAACAAACTAGTAATTTCATATCACTTTCATCCAATGCAGTAAATATGTTTAACAGAGATTTATTTTTTTAAATAGCTGATTCAGGATTCAAGACTTCAAGAAATTAATACAAATGCATTGTGCATACAAATACGTTTAAATATAAAATCTAAACCATGATTTCATTAATTATTCTATTTATAACATACATAGTATGTTACTTTTTAAAAAATGCTTCATAAACTACTGAACAGTTTTATAAAAGTTGATATAGTCATCCCATAGGATGTACAAAGCTATGTTCTTGAACCAGTTTTACTACCATTCAAAACACTATGTTTTAAATGTACTCAACATCTTCAAGAGCAAAAGGAGAGGCTTTCTTTCCATAGGAACATAAAATAACCTAACTACATGTCTATTTTTAACAACACATAGTCCCACAGCCATAAATTAAGCTCACCTTCATGAGTCATCAGACATTATACAATATGTTAGCATTCAAATAGCCTATGATTACAGTTACTAAGTCTTTATGTTAATTTAAATTCACATGACAGAGTTTATCTCAGGATCTGGCATAGTTCCCATTTGTGCCAAAGAACTACATGATGGAAAATATTGCAACCTTGCAGCCAGCATGGGGAGCAGGCATTTTGACAATTCCCTGTCTAGCAGCTTCACACCTAAAAACTTTAAACAGGAGATGCAGCCGAAGTCACAATAGGGTTTTTTTTTCCTTCAAAGCCAGTAGACATAATAAACTAATACACATTAATTAGGAAACTAGGTGACCCTGAATTCTATAAGGTTTTCTTGGAAACGTTCTTAGCTTATGTACAGAATTCTTAACTTTGCCAAGCTCTCAGCCTGAAAGAAAGGAGATCACTGCAGCAGCACTGAGAGTTAGGAAGTATGATAAGGAACATGAGAGAAGCCCCAGAATGTTATTTAAAAAGGAGCTGTTTGTCTCTCTTCATAACCAAAGCAAGCCATCAGCAAAACTAGTGGGCGGTTGCATAAAGATATTCCTTTGTTCCACCACCCCTTCATCCAAGCAAAACTTCGTAAGATGACAATGGGCAAGTAGGAGTTGAATTCCAGGTTACAAAATTTCAGATCTTTTTAGGTAAGCCAGATGATAGAATCCACGCAGAGGATTCACTGTCAGTACAGCTGTATTAAAAAACACATTACCAGGAGCAGGTGGTGGTTAGAAGTAGCAATGGAACTTCTCCAGAATGTTCATTAAACACTGTTAGAGTTCAAGGAATCCAAGCACAGCCAATTAATGCTCTCGTGCTTCTTTCTCTCTCCCATCCCTCTACACACATTACCCCTCTTCAGTTCAACACAAGAGACTCCCAAATCTATTCATAGTCCAGTGTTGTTGGGCCCCGGACAATGTTAAAGTAGCCAGCTAATGCTCCAAAGTCTATATATAATGAGCGTTGTCTCCTAAGCAGATCCGACTCCTCCGTAATCCCAAGGGTTGAAGAATCTAACAAGGAAAAATTAAGGAAAAGACATATTACCTACTTGAAAAGTAACTTCAGAACAATTAACTATGTATGTTTTTTGTTTAGCTTAAGTTTTCTAAGCAAGCTTCTTTTCAATATCCATAATAAGGCAGTAGGTTTCCCCAGGGCAAGGCCATTTTGCTTAAAGAAGAGAAACCACAGTAAGTTATAGTAGCTGCAACCACTTTTAACAATACTGGGGGTGCTTCACCTCGAAAATGGTATTGTAGAGTCAGTAAACGACAGAAAGTGATTAGGAGGCCAGGACAGCTCTCTCATGGGGAAAGGCATTTGGAGTTTTACTTTTCACTTGGTTATAAAACAGGCAGGTGAGGAGCGGGATAAGAGATGTATAAAATTAGGCATGAGAGGGAGAAAATGGAGAGAAATCTAACAAGACTTGGGGTTCTCCATCTCTGGAGGTCTTTAAGAAGAGGTTGGTCAAGGATTCTTTAACTGGTTTTCCTCCACACTGCAGGGGGTTAGACTAATTCTGTGGTCACTTCCAACTTCACAGTTCTGTGATTCTATGGTTCTATGAAATCTCCTCCTTCATTTACAAATATGTAGAGCAGTGTTTCTCAACCTTGGCAGCTTGAAGACGTGTGGACTTCAGCTCCCAGAATTCCCTAGCTA